AACCCCCCCCAGACCCCCCCAAATCCCCCCAGCCCCCCCAGATTCCCCCGTCTCCCCGCAGAGGCTCCGGGCTCGGGGGGTCTCAAGTTCCAGCTGCCCAAGCGCCCCTTCGTGCTGCCCCCCCCGGCCTTTGGGGAGCAGCCCCGGGGGGGCGGCGCCTTCGGGGGCCCCCCCGGCCCCGAGAAGCTGCACGGGGGGCACGGGTGAGTCCGGGGGGGACCCCAAAACCCGCAGCCCCCAAACCCTGCCCCGACCCCACCCCGGGAACCCCGAAACGGGGAAACGGTCCCCGGAAATCACCCCGGGAACCCCAAAAATCACCCTGGGAACCCCAAAAATCACCCCGGGAACCCCAAAAATTACTCTGGGAACCCCAAAAATCACCCCAGGAACCCCAAAAATCACCCCGGGAACCCCAAAATCCCCCCGGGAACCCCAAAAATCACCCTGGGGACCCCAAAAATCATCCCCAGGAACCCCAAAAATCATCCTGGGAACCCCAAAATCATCCCGGGAACCCCAAAAATCACCCTGGGAACCCCAAAAATCATCCCCAGGAACCCCAAAAATCATCCTGGGAACCCCAAAAATCACCCTGGGAGCCCCAAAATCACTCTGGGAGCGCCAAAATCACCCCGGGAACCCCAAAAATCATCCCGGGAACCCCAAAAATCATCCTGGGAATCCCAAAATCATGCTGGGAACCCCAAAAATCACGCTGGGAACCCCAAAAATCATCCCGGGAACCCCAAAAATCACCCTGGGAACCCCAAAAATCACCCCGGGAACCCCAAAAATCACCCTGGGAACCCCAAAAATCACCCTGGGAGGCAACGGGAGCTCTGTGGGGTGACCCCAAATCCCCATGGGGCAGCCCCAGAGTCCTGTGGGTCACCCCAGATGTGTCTCTGCCCCACAGAGAGCCCCGTGGGTCACCCCAAATCCCTTTCGGTCACCCCAAATCCCCGTGGGTCACCCCAGATGTGTCTGTGCCCCATAGAGAGCCCTGTGGGTCACTGTGGGGCACCCCAGATCCCCATGGGTCACCCCAGATGTGTCTCTGCCCCACAGAGAGCCCCGTGGGTCACCCCAAATCCCTTTCGGTCACCCCAAATCCCCGTGGGTCACCCCAGATGTGTCTGTGCCCCATAGAGAGCCCCGTGGGTCACCCCAGATCCCTTTGGGTCACCCCAAATCCCTGTGGGTCACCCCAGATGTGTCTGTGCCCCATAGACAGCCCTGTGGGTCACTGTGGGTCACCCCAAATCCCCGTGGGTCACCCCAGATCCCTGTGGGTCACCCCAAATGTGTCTCTGCCCCCCAGGGAGCCCCGTGGGGCGGCGGGCAGGGGCAAGCCGGAGGACTGGCCCCCCGAGATGAAGGCTGTGGGTCACTGTGGGTCACTGTGGGTCACTGTGGGTCACCCCACACATTTCTCTGCCCCACAGAGAGCCCCGTGGGGCGGCGGGCAGGGGCAAGCCCGAGGACTGGCCCCCCGAGATGAAGGCGTACGTGCAGCGCTGCTTCACGGCCTGCGAGTCGGAGGAGGACAAGGACAGGACGGAGAAGCTGCTGAAGGAGCTGCTGCAGGCGCGGCTGCAGGACGGCTCGGCCTTCACCATCGACTGGAGCCGCGAGCCCCTGCCCGGGTCAGAGCACGGCGGGGCTGGGGACCCCGAAAACACGGGGGGAACTGCCCTGGGGACCCCGAAAATACCGGGAGAGGGGCTGGGGACCCCAAAAACACCGGGGAAACTGCCCTGGGGACCCCGAAAACACCGGGGGAACTGCCCTGGGGACCCCAAAAATACGGGGGGAGCTGCCCTGGGGACCCCGAAAACACGGGGGAACTGCCCTGGGGACCCCGAAAACACGGGGGGAACTGCCCTGGGGACCCCGAAAACACGGGGGGAACTGCCCTGGGGATCCCAAAAACACGGGGGGAACTGCCCTGGGGACCCCAAAAATACGGGGGGAACTGCCCTGGGGACCCCGAAAACACGGGGGAACTGCCCTGGGGACCCCGAAACCACGGGGGGAACTGCCCTGGGGATCCCAAAAACACCGGGGAAAACTGGGCAGAGCCACCCCAAAAACATGGGGGAAATCCTGCCCTGGGAACCCCAAAAACGCCGGGGAAATCCTGCCCTGGGAACCCCGAAAACACGGGGGAAACTGCCCTGGGAACCCCGAAAACAGCGGGAGGGATTTGGGGGGTCAGAGCTGAATTCCAGGGGTTACAAGTGACATTTGGGGGGGATTCTGGGCAGGATTTCCCCGGTGTTTTTGGGGTTCCCCGGGCAGGATTGATCCCAATCTCACCCCAAATCCCCCCCAAACCCCCCCAAATCCCCCCCAAACCCCCCCAATCCCCCATCCTGACCCCAAACCCTCCCTGTCCCCCCCAGGCTGGGCCGGGACGGCTCCTCCAGCCCCAAGAAGAAGCGCTGGGAGCTGCCCCCAGCCCGGCCCGGCCCGGCCCCGGGGCCGCCCCCGAGCCCCTCCCAGCGCCCCCCGGGCTCGGGGGGCCCGGCCCCCGCCCAGAGAGGGGGTCCCGGGGGGTCCCGGGCCCGCGGGGGCGGCGCCTTCCCCACCAAGTTCGGGAACCGGAACGTCTTCATGAAGGAGAACAGCTCCTCCTCCAGCGGCTCCCGCTCGCGCTCCCGCTCGTCCTCGCGCTCACCGGGGCGCCGCTGCCGCCGCAGGTCAGACCCCAAACACACCCTGAGACCCCAGACCCTCCTCAAACCCACCCCAAAAACCCCAAACCCTCCCCCACCCCCCCCCAAAAACCCCACACCACCCCCCAACCC